CAGCTGTTTTCGACGCCATTTTGGACATCCCTGTCACCCAGACGCTTCGCCAGACCCTGTCGATTGCCCCAGAAGTCCGTGCTCAATTCCGCGAAGCCACTAGTTTCCGTCGTCCCCCTGCCAAGACTGGCGAGGCAGTGCCTCAATTCCTGCATCCTGTCACTGATAGCACGCCCTACGACCTTCCATATGCTCAGGACGACTCAGATTTGGTCGAAAAAGTGCTTCAGCAGCAACGAAACGAAGATGCACGCCTTGCTTTGGCTGCGGAGCATTTTCCAGTCGCCTACAGCCAGACGTTGCCCCCAGACGCTTGGGTGGTCCCAGATAAATTCGCCGTCTACTACGATCAGACTGGAAGGTTGCCAGACAATCTAGTTGTGGCTGCCGAGTCCCTGGCCATCCGCTCGATCCTCCCAGTGATTGACAACCAGCAACAAGTGGAATGCATCGTCGACAGTGGTTCTCAGATTATTTCGATGTCCCAGGCAACCTGTCACAAGTTGGGACTTGCGTATGACCCTCGAATCGTTCTACAAATGCAATCTGCCAATGGAACAATCACACCGTCGCTTGGACTAGCCCGAAACGTCCCGGTTCGCATTGGGGACATCACATTGTACCTACAGATGCACATTCTGCGTGACGCTGCCTACGACGTGCTCCTGGGACGACCATTTGACGTTCTGACGGAAAGCGTCATTCGAAACTTTTCCAACACGGATCAAACACTCACAATCACCGATCCCAACACTGGAAAGACGGCTACTGTGCCTACTGTGCCCCGCGGATCTCCCCGTGCCCGTTCAGAGGGTTTTCGCAGCTCGAGGATTTGATTCCTGATCAAGGAGAGTACGCCTTTGTGATCGAGGCCAGCCCAGATCAACCAGAACGCTACGTATTTTCGTCCTATGCCCCCATTTCTCTCACAGACTCTCTTGCGCACATACAACATACTTATCTCTCTGCCTGTAGCAATTTATCCGCACACAGTTCGACTATTTCTCTTGCACATACAGTCGTTCAACCGGCGTTTTCCTCAGCGACCCAGGATTCAACTCCTGGTTCAAAATTCGTTCCCATATTTTCTTTGAACTCGTCTCGTACCTATCCTACTGCTACGTCTCCTTCATCTCAATTCTACCCGTCCACGTCACAATTTGCTAACAAAAAGTACAAGCCAGTGGCCAGGAAAATTCGGCCTGTTCTTGGATCTGTCCCAGACGAATTCCGCATCGAGCGCCAGATCCTGGGCGACCCACTCGCAGATCTACCATATCTGGATCCTATTCCGCCTCCTTTTGTGCCGACTGGACGCTACACCGCCGAACGCAAGGCTGCTCTTGACGACGCACACCGCGGTGACTTCCTGTGGCCTGCTGAGAGAGATTTAATGCACCAGTTCATGTGCCTTCACCAAGGAGCCTTTGCATGGCAAGAATCAGAACGAGGACGTTTTCGAACCGATTTCTTTCCCCCTGTCAATATCCCAGTCATGCCGCACACACCGTGGGTCCAGCGCAATATCCCCATTCCCCCTGGGATCTACGATCAAGTCTGCGACCTCATACGCTCGAAAATCGCTGCTGGAGTGTACGAACCGTCCAATTCATCCTATCGATCCCGTTGGTTCTGTGTGGTGAAGAAAGATGGCACCAGCCTTCGTTTGGTTCATTCCCTGGAGCCACTCAACGCCGTCACAATTCAGCACTCAGGCGTCACGCCGTTCACTGAGCAGCTGGCTGAGCATTTTGCAGGACGAGCCTGTGGTGCCGTGCTGGATTTATATGTTGGATATGACGAACGGTTGCTTGCGCCAGCCTCCCGCGACTATACAACGTTCCAGACGCCCTATGGAGCTCTCAGACTTGTTACCCTGCCCATGGGATGGACGAATTCAGTCCCCATCTTCCACGACGACGTCACCTACATCCTCCAGCCCGAAATCCCGGAATTTACTTGGCCATACATCGACGACGTCCCGGGCCGTGGCCCCAAATCGAGATATCAGCTAGAAGATGGATCATTTGAGACGATCCCTGAGAATCCAGGGATTCGCCGGTTCGTTTGGGAACATTTTGGAAATCTGAATCGAATCGTTCAGAGGATGAAGTACTGCGGAGGGACATTCTCTGGCCTCAAGCTCACACTCTGCGCCGAAACCATCACAGTTGTTGGACATGTCTGCACACCGGCTGGACGAATCCCTGATGAGAAGAGAGTCGACAAAATCGCAAATTGGGGACCCTGCAAGACGCTCTCAGAAGTCCGTGCATTTCTGGGCACCATAGGAGTCTGCCGTGCATTTATTTCGAATTTTGCGCATCGTGCCCACGCCCTGACACTTCTAACACGAAAGGATATGCCATTCCACTTCGGTACTGCACAGATCGCTGCCCAAGACGACCTGAAGCACGCATTATTGAGCTGCCCTGCGCTCCGGCCAATCGACTATTCATCTGGGGACCCAGTTATCTTATCCGTGGACACCTCTCAGATCGCCGTTGGTTTCCTGCTTGCCCAGTGCGATCCAAACACTCCCAGTCGACGTTTCTATGCCCGGTTTGGCTCAATCACGCTTAACGATCGAGAAGCTCGATTTTCACAGCCCAAGCTAGAGCTGTATGGATTATTCCGCGCCCTTCGTTCATGGAAGCTCCACCTGATCGGTCTACGAAATCTAGTGGTTGAAGTCGATGCTAGGTACATCAAGGGTATGCTACGGAACCCCGATCTTTCGCCCTCAGCCAGTATCAACCGCTGGATCCTGGCGATCTTAACCTTCCATTTCGAGCTAGTACATGTCCCTGGCGTCAAACACGGCCCGGATGGATTGTCCAGACGACCCGCACAGCCTGGAGACGAGTTAGAGCATGAGGACGACGGTTTTGATGACTGGATCGACGAGGTGCACGGTTTTATGCACATAATCAATGACTTACCCTTCGTTTCACGACGCCAATCCACGATCCACTCATTTTCCGCCGAAATTGCACCCACCGAGTCCACAACACCGCCTACACTGAGCTACGATCAGGTACCTCGCTCAGAAGCAGCTCGACTCGCCGATCATCGTGTAGATCTGGTTCAGGGATGGCTTGAGACGCTACGACGCCCACGGGACATGTCTGAACAGCAATATCAGGCATTTATTCGGTTTAGCATGGAATTCTACCTCGAAAATCGAAAGCTTTGGCGCAAGGACGCACACGGACGCCACAAGCTAGTCGTTCCCTCCCACCGTCGAATATTCATCCTGCGATCTGCCCACGACGACGTTGGTCACAAGGGATTCCACGCAACGAAGGCTTTGCTCACGGAACGATTCTGGTGGCCATTCCTTGCACACGACGTCACCTGGTACCTACGCACCTGCCACCTATGTCAGATTCGACAGACAAAGAAGCTCCTTATCCCCCCTACCGTCGCGGTCCCGGCCCCACTGTTTTCGAAAATTCATATGGACACTATGCACATGCCGCCAAGCGCTGGATTCCGCTACATTGTGCAAGGACGATGCTCGATTTCGCTTTTTCCTGAGTTCCGCATGCTGCGCCGTGAGACAGCGACCACCCTGGGCGAATGGATCTTCCAGGACTTGATCTGCAGATGGGGGACGCTCACAGAAATCGTGTCAGACAACGGCGCACCGTTTGTGAAGGCATTGGCGTACCTGGAAGCTAAGTATCACGTCCGTCATGTGCGCATTTCGGGATACAACTCACGCGCAAATGGGCTGATTGAAAATCCACATTTCGACATCCGCGAGGCGCTCTTCAAGGCTGTAGATGGGGAGCAGAAGAACTGGAGTTCTGCTGCTTATTCGGTCTTCTGGGCGGACCGTGTCACTGTCCGTCGTCGCATGGGCTGCTCACCCTATTTTGCGGTCACTGGAACGCATCCATTAATTCCCCTCGATTTATCAGAAGCCACATACCTGCTCCCGCCGCCCGAAACCGTCCTTTCGACCACGGATCTCATTGCACGACGCGCCATTGCGCTCCAGAAACGCCGAAGCGATCTAGAAGCCCTACACTCTCGAGTTTATCAAGCACGACTGCGTGACGCTGCACGCTTCGAGATCGAGCACGCCGCCACGATCTGCGACTTCAACTTCAAGCAGGGCGACCTGGTTTTGATGAGGAACACGGCCATCGAGAAGTCCCTCAATATGAAGATGCGCAAACGCTATTTGGGCCCATTAGTCGTCATTTCGCGCAACAAGGGAGGCGCCTACATCCTGTGTGAGCTAGACGGCTCAGTTTTCCATCGTCCCATCGCCGCTTTTCGTGTTATACCTTATTTTGCACGCACAACGATCCCCCTCCCTCCCCTGGACGATTTCCTCGATATCTCAACCGAGAAACTGCGCGAGCTCGAGCAGTCAACATTGGTGGACCCAGAAACAGATCAGGAAGAGGAGGAGAGCTGTGAAGAGTTGTAGAAGAGTTAGAGAACGCGTTTCAGTCAGGAGGATGCACCTGCACAGCTGAGCACCCTCTCCTTTCGACTTTGCTGCCCATTCCTTTCCCCCCAAGTCGCATCCTTTGATTCATCATTGTCTTGCGCAGCTCCGAGGAGCTAAGGCTATGATGATCTACTGAGCCTTTATCTTCACATTTCTATTCCTCAAGACACTTGTCCGCTATTCTATGACCGAGGACGGTCATTTTTTCAGTCAGGAGGAGATGACGGACTGGCCTATCTATCCGACAAGTCCTGACGTGTGGCAGTGCATGTCAATCAGCAATCAGTGGGCGCACGCTTCGCACACAACTGAGGGTCTCCTCAATATTCCTCAGCCCTGGCTATTCACTGGTTCGTCCAGCCCTGCATATATTTTTGATATTCACATCCCTGGACTGCTGTCTGCACATTTATCTCTACACCCCTGCCTTTCTTACTTCACCATCCACTTGTACCTGTTTTTCCCCTCTCACTTCCCTGGTTCCTCTGTTCACCGTCCCTTGCTCCATCCTGTCGATATTTCACCCACTCTGATGATTATTTCATTGTCTCACATACAAAAGCTTGTAGTTGGACAAAAGAAAAATAGATTTATTCTCCTCATAGTCTTGAGTTCAGTTCTCGTCTTCAGCTCGTTTCTACTTGGGTATTTCGACCCTCTGCTTCGTCGCATCCGTCCCACGCCGCCCTCGACTTCGTCCCACGTCTAAAATCATCATTTCTTACTGCCTGCCACGGCACTGAATCTTGTGGACCTCCTCGCACATCACACTTATTCCTGCACTGTTTTAGGTCGTAGCTGACCCCCATTTTGTGTTAGCTCGCGCCTATTCCGTCCGCAGGCACGTCACCGGCAACCACCCCGACGCCAGCGCCTTAGGTGAGACATACGTCTTTGTATTCCAGGCATCGACTAATGGGTTTTCTTTCTTTTCTAGGTTGCCCCGGCGGCCCCTGCCGCTACCAAGACTCCTCGTAGTGGGTTGGGCAGGGTGGCCGCGACCCTAGGTCGTGAGTGGAGCGTTGCAGCGGCCAAGGCCAAGATCAAGGCCAACAAGGCTGATAAGTCCGCTGCAGCGGTCAAGAAGAAGTCGGACTCAGTGAGTCGCAACTTTTCCTTGTTGTTGACCTTTTATCTGACTTGAATGTTTCTAGACGCCTGTGAAGGCAACGACCACCACGCCCCGGGCTCCTTTCACTCCCACCGCCTACAACACCGAGGCCCTCCTTTTGGTGGCACGCCAGGGGTTGGCAGGGAAGTTGGAGAGGGCCGTCATCGAGGTGCCCACCGACTTCGTGCGTCTCTTTCCTCTCTTTTTGCGGTGCTTCGACGACTGACTCTCTCCCATAGGAGGTCGCCCCGAGGCCATGCACGATGTGCGTGACACGGCAACGCGTCTGCTTCAAGAGCGTTGACAGGCGCCACGGCAATAGGTGTGCCCCGTGCGTCCTTTACAAGCAGACCTGCACCAATGGCTACAAGCTTGCGGAGCAGCTCTACATGGGACAGCACTTCGGGTATATTGCGCAGATGAGCGCGGCTGGTATGCGACCACTATTTCTTTTCATCTTTGGTTTGTGAGCCCTTCTGACGACTTTGCAGAACTCAACAAGTCCGCCAACCGTCTTGTGAACACTCTGGACGCCTACGGCGGTCTTCTCTACTCAGCCCACAAGATCCGCATCCTGGATATCAGCCAGTTCCGCGACTTTGTTGCTGAGCTGAAGGAGCATTTTGACGACGGCTCTGACGGACGCATCGAGGCGATGTTTGCCCATACCGCAACCGAAATCACCGCTGCCAAGTTGATAGAAATCCGCAAGGGTATCCGACAGATTCTGGCTCACGCAGCGTCCTTGGATGGCGAGGCAAAAGAGCGGTTCGCGGCGCCCCCTGCATTCTTCGATCCATTTTTCTATCGCAAGATGGAAAGGATTGAGGAGGATTTCCGGGAGGAGGTCGAGAAAGCCAAGGGGCTCGACAAGCAGGACCCCGCGACCGTTGGGGATCAGGATTTCCAGCCTGGTGAGCGTCGCAAGGCCACCTTGGTCACCCCCCAAATCCTACCAGTTAGGTAGGTTTTTCCAGCGCCCAAAACCTACCTGAGTGGTAGCGGGAAGATGGGCGGCGGGCGTTCATTTCGCAAATTGCGATCCTTGGGCGGCCCATTGTTCACGGTTCCAGGCGCCCGTGGGCGGCAGCCCGGGCAGACCCAACCCTGCCCAGGGTCCTAGTGCGCGCAGTGCTAGAAATTTTTGGCCATTTTACGTCCCGTTTAGGAAGTTAAAGTCGATTTCTATTGCCTTCGTTGCACACAAAATACATTTGTTTTGTTTCCTACTTATCACCCGTGTGTACACCTATAAATCCCATTAGACACCTATAGTAATAGGTGGTGGTACCCCCTATGCACCACCTATAACTATAGATTCATATGTGAACAAGGGCTTGCTGCGCCAAAAGCTGGCCTAAAGGCTGGCAGAAAAACATCACCTTGGTAGATATGAGTACCTATGGGCCCCAGAGCTGCTTGGAACATTCTGTGGCCATCACTGGGCACTGCTGCTGACCAAATTGGGAAGTCCAGCTCATTATTCTGTCCTCCACCAATCAGACATTCTGATCTAGGTCACAGACATATTTCTGCATCATTTTTTTTTTCATATGTGCATATCAGACACATCCCAAATTTTGATGTCCCACTCACTGCCCTGCTCTGCCAGTGTGACATGTCACATCATGTGACCCAAGGTAATTTTTGCATAATTTTTTCTTGTGCATGCAATGGTGCAAAAACAGAAGTTGATAAGAGAAGTGAATTCCAAGACTAGAGAATACAACATAATAGCTACAGTACTCATACTCTTGTCCAGTCTGAGTCATATCTACAACTAATGAGTCATGAGACTATGTACCATGTAGAATGTGTTGAAGTAGGAAATGCAGAGAGAACTGGAGTCAACAGTAAGAAGCTCTGCATTGCAAGACAAGAAAAGAATCTACAGACCTGGAGTCAATAGTAAGAAGCTGAAGAACTCCAGGTAGACAAGAACTATCTATGTGGATAGAGCATGTGACTATATAGGAATCATGTGACCAGGAGCATGTGAGCAGAATGATGGGAACAATGATGAAATCAGATCTCATCAGTGATAGGAACAGATGGGAACAATGATGGAATCAGATCATGTGACCCAATCACCAGAGAGTGATCAAGTCCAAAACCCATCCTCAATAGAACACTGGTCATAGGTTGTAGTGGAAGCTTCCAGAGCATATGTTGCACAGCTTTGGATTGATAGAGATAACCCTTCTCAACCCCTAATCTAGACCATGTGATGCTTTGATCTGTGATAAGATAACCCCATATCAAGATAAGATAAGACGATCAATGAAATGACAAAAAAGTGATCAAATTATGACATGCAGTAGTAGTACATCTCAATATTGGTCAAACATCTCACTCAGAAATTTTCTAGGCATTTTGCCTTTCTATTTCAAGAATCTATGTTCTGAGTGTAAATTACTGTAGAAATCCATTTCAACCTTGAAGAGAGAGTAGAATTGTTATAGTAGGATTGCTTTTCCATCATTTCATTGATCAATCATCTCATCTTGATATTGGGTTATCTTATCATGGATCCAGGCATTCACGGCCCAGACTAGGGGCTTAGTGTTTTTCAGTCCAGGTTTGAAGCTATCTGCAGCTGTGCAATATGTGTTCAAGAATGCTATACCACAGCCCATGACTAGTGTTTTATATGGTACATAGCCTTGGGAATCATTATGACTTATAGCTGTAGATGTGACTCAGACTGAACTTGTCATAATTTAATCCTTTTTCACATCATTTCATTGATCAATCATCTTGTTATGGATCACAGCATCACACGGTCTGGGTTAGGGGCTCTAAATGTCATCTGTACATGGAGGCTGCACAACATATGCTCCAGATCTGGTCTTTGACAAAGGTCCCTTGAGTACTCTTTTACTAAATATACATACAAGTCCATACATTCATTGACCTATGTGAACAAGAGCAAGTTCAAATAATATCAACACTCATGAGGTAAGAACAAAGGAAGCAGCTGGCTTGAGAACTGATAATGTGTTGAGGTGTGGATGCAGTGTTTGCTTGGTTTGGACCAAGGATGTGGCATTGCTCTGTGACATGTAGTATATATTGTCAGGGGAAGCCCTGTCTCAAGGTTGCACTTATATATATCATCTAATCAATGGGCCCTACTCAGCTGTTTTGCCTCCCCACCTACAGAGTTTCTATTACACTACTAATGTAAAATCAGGATCTGAATAAAATAGATAGAGTAGAATTTTTAGATTGATCAGGATTGGAAATTTTCCAAATGACTCACTGTAATGACGTGGCACAAAGCTTTGGGTTCCTGAAGCAAGAATATCTGTATTACAAGAATGACTTTCATTTTTTCCTGTTGCCCTTGATTCCACTCCTTTTCTGTTTCTGCAATGAATGGCTCTACTGTTAGATGAAAGACAGGAGGACATTGCTTGAGAAGCATCAAGTGTTATAAATAGGGATATACCTAGGGAAACATGTGTTCTTATTGAAAGCTATATAGAGTTTCATTGAAAGAGTTAGAATATGGAGACATTGAAAGAGTTCGAATATAGAGACATTGTATAACAGTCTATCAGCTTTGAGGAGGCCAAATATAAGTGATTACATGGCAGACTAATTCCATTTCGAGATTGCCATAATTTGCATCAAGATTTCCCCATAGAGAAATTTGTCGGGAGAACCCCTGCTTTTTCTCAATCATCACGGGATCTTGCAAGCAACCATGCGTATGCTATCTGTTAATTGTTGTGTAAGTTGAACATGCCCAATATAGAAACTGTTCCAAATCACTGATCCAATTGTGACTAGCTACAACAAGTTCAGATTTCCCCTGGATTTGACTATCAGGGTCTGCTATTGGATCGTGTCAATCTTGGTCTAGAGGATAAGATGAGATTGTATTTTACATCATCAAAAATTGATCTTCTTCAGTTGAGCCTTTGCTGGCCAGACATTCCATCAAATAAAATACTGTGTTGCACAACAGTAGTGTGATTGGGTGTGGGAGCTGAGCCCAGGGCGCAAAGCCGGCGGGGTGCGGATGACCCCAAAATGTGCTGCCCAGCCAGAACAACGCCGGCTCACCCAAAGAAAGCAGCACCACTTGTGTGTCAGTAAAATATGCACAATATGCACGCCGGAAAATGTGCAGGCTATGCCCAGTACCCAATATACGCATGTGCAGGATATGTATCATCAAAATGCACGATATGCAGGCGAATTATGCATGATATGCATGCCGAAAATGTGCAGGCTATGCACAGCGCACAACATGCACAGATGCAGGCTATGTATTGTCAAAAATGCATGACATACACTGCAGAAAATGCAGGATATGCACAATTCTAGGCCAATCAAAGTCGAAATAAGCACAATATGCAAGCCGGAAATGTGGAGGCTATGCCCAGTGCATGATATGAGCATGTGCAGGCAATGCACCGTCGAAATATGGACAATATGCAGTCGAAATATGCACTACATGCATGCTGGAGAATGTGTAGGCTATGCACGGTGCACGATGTGCATGGGTGCAGGCTATGCACGCCAGAAAATGCGCAGGATGTGCGCAGTGCATGATATGCGTGGGTGCAGGCAACGCATAGGCGCAGGCGCAGGCTAGGCACTGACAAAAAGCACAATATGCATAGTAGAAAATACACAGGATATGCGCTAGTGCAGGCTATGCACTGTCAAAAAGCACGATATGCACAGGAGAAACACAGTGCACAAAATGTGCAAGTGCAGGCTATTGAAAAAGCACGATATGCACCACAAGAAATATGCAGGATATGCGCAGGTGTAGGCTATACACCGTCGAAAATGCACAATATGCACGCAGAAATACGCAGGATATGCACAGCGCACGATATGCACAAGTGCAGGCTATGCACAGTGAATAATGCACGATATGCATGCCATAAAATGCGCAGAATATGCGCAGCGCACAATATGCACAAGTGCAGGCTATGAACACTCAAAATGCACGATATGAACCACAAGAAGGGCACAGAATATCCACAATGCACGATATGCGCAAGTGCAGGCTATGCACGGTCGAAACATGCACAATATGCACGCCCAAAAATACGCAGAATATACGCACCGCACTATATGCGCAAGTGCAGGCTATGCACGGTCAAAAAATGCACAATATGCAGTCGAAAATGCACGATATGCATGGCAGGAAATGCACAGGATATGTACAGTGCACAATATGCGCAAGCGCAGGCTATGCACAGTCGAAAAATGCATGATATGCACCACAGGAAAGGCGCAGAATATGCGCAGTGTAAAAATGCATAATATGCACGCCACAATACGCAGAATATGCGCAGTGCATGACGGGCGCAGGTGCAGGATATGCACCATCAAACATGCATGGTATGCCCAGTAGAAAATACGCAGAATATGCGCAAGTGCAGGCTATGCATAGTCGAAAAATGCACAATATGCGTGCCAGAAAATGTGCAGGACATGCGCAGCTATGCACCATCAAAAGTGCATGATATGCACGCCGGAAATAACCAGGATATGCGCAGGTGCAGGCCATGCACCATCAAAAATGCACAATATGCCCACTGAAAATACGCAGGATATTGCCAAGTAGAAAAGACGCAGAATATGCGCAATTACAGGCTATGCACAGTCGAAAATGGCACGACATGCATGACATGCACGATATGCACGCCCAAAAATAGGCAGAATATGCGCAGCACACGATAGGCGCAAGTGCAAGCAATGCACACTCGACACATGCACAATATGCACACCCAGAAATACGCAGAATATGCGCAGCGCACAATATGCGCAGTGCAGGCTATGCACAGTCGAGAAAAGCACAATATGCACCAAGGAAAGGTGCAGAATATGCCCAGCGCATGATAGGCGCAGGTGCAGGCTATACACCATCAGAAATGCACAGTCTGCCCAGTAGAAAGATACGCAGAGTATGCGCAAGTGCAGACTATGCACAGTCAAGAAAATGCACGATAGGCACCAAGGAAAGGCGCACAATATGCGCAAGTGCAGGATATGCGCAGGTGCAGCCTATGCACGGTCGCAAAATGCACGATATGCACGACAGGGAGGGCGCAGAATATGCGCAGGTGCAGCCTATGCACACTCAAAATGCAGGATATGCACGCCAGAAAATACGCAGAAGATGCACAGCGCACGATATATGCATGTGCAGCCTATGCACACTCAAAATGCACGATATGCATGCCAGAACATACGCAGAATATGCGCAAGTGCAGCCTATGCACACTCAAAATGCAGGATATGCACGCCAGAAAATACGCAGAATATGCACAGTGCACGATATGCGCAGTGCAGGCTATGCACAGTGGAAAATGCACGATATGCACACCCAAAATACGCAGAATATGCGCAGCGCACAATATGCGCAAGTGCAGGCTATGCACAGTCGAAAGATGCATGTTATGCACCACAGGAAAGGCGCAGAATATGCGCAGGTGCAGCCTATGCACACTCAAAATGCAGGATATGCACGCCAGAAAATACGCAGAATATGCACAGCGCACAATATGTGCATGTGCAGCCTATGCACACTCAAAATGCACGATATGCATGCCAGAACATACGCAGAATATGCGCAAGTGCAGGCTATGCACAGTTGAAAAATGCACGATATGCATGACAGGGAGGGCGCAGATGGATGCATTGAGTGAGAGAGGGAGATCAATGCATCATCTTGTGAGGGAGAGAGCCGAAGAGCAGGGGGTGGCTGTGAGCTCACTCTCTCCTTCCACCCACCTGCCGGCGATCTCATCCTTGACAAATTCCCATTTCTGCGCTCTTTCTACACACCCTTTCATCGTTTTCCTCGACTGTGAAACGCCCAGAAGTCCTCAATGTCTGCATTAATCTCTGGACAATGGATTCCATCTCAATTTCGAAATTTTGGACGATTTGAGAGCTTTGTTAGGGCTATAGCCCCATCCCATCCATGGAGATGAGTACTTCGACCTCCTTTTATAATTAGAGCTCAACAAGAGCGACATTTTCTGACCCAATTCTGACATCAGGACGACGCCCTCTACATCCCCCACCCCTCATCACCCTCTCCTTTCCTTCCCACCCAAGCTCTCAACCCTGGGATCCTCTCAGTGATATTCCCACTTGATTCCTTCGATTTCTCCCTGCGCATCCGCTCCAGCAGTCTGTCTTCCAAGCCCTGCATGCTGGAGACACCTCTTCGCTTCAATTCCGCTCTTATTCGGGTTTCCCTCCCATTCTTATTGGGCGTTCAAATCCTGCGATTTAATCGCACTTGGTGCGATATTATCGCATATTTTCGTTCTTTTGGGTTCCTGGCGTTGTCTAACAACGCTGCAGGGACATTCTATGGTCTCAGCTCATTCTGGACCGTTGGTCTTGACCCAGCCGCTGGCCTGGGCCACATAGCGTCAATAATTACTTCGAATCTAGTGAGTTGTCACTCTTGTGCATATTTTGCATGATCTCTGCTGCGCATCTCCAGTGTCTTTGCTTCTGTGCATATCATGCATGTTGCTGCCCTGCACTCTGTGCATTTTTAGACGGTGCATAGCCTGCGCTGCGCATATCCTGCGTTTTTCCGGCGTGCATATCGTGCACATTTCGACTGCATATCGTGCATTTTCGACGGTGCATAGCCTGCACATTTTCCAGCATGCATATCGTGCATTTTTCGACTGTGCATAGCCTGCACTTGCGCCTATCATGCGCTGCGCATATTCTGCGCCCTGCCTGTCGTGCATATCGTGCATTTTGCGACCGTGCATAGCCTGCACTTGCGCCTATCGTGCGCTGCGCATATTCTGCGCCCTCCCTGTCGTGCATATTGTGCATCTTTCGACTGTGCATAGCCTGCACTTGGGCATACCGTGCGCTGCGCATGTTCTGCGTATTTTGGGTGTTCATATCGTACATTTTCGACCGTGCATAGCCTGCACTTGCGCATATTCTGCGTATGTTCTGGCGTGAATATCGTGCATTTTGAGTGTGCATAGGCTGCACATGCGCATATCGTGCGCTGCGCATATTCTGCATATTTTCTGGCGTGCATATACTGCATTTTTGATGGTGCATAGCTTGCACATGCGCCTTTTGTGTGCTGCGCATAGTCTGCGCCTTTCCTGTGGTGCATATCGTGCATTTTCGACCATGCATAGCCTGCACTTGCGCCTATCGTGTGCTGCGCATATTCTGCGTATTTTTGGGTGTGCATATCGTGCATGTTTCCAGTGTGCATCACTTGCACTTGCGCATATTGTGCGCTGCGCATATTCTGCGTATTTCTGGGTGTGCATATCGTGCATGTTTTGAGTGTGCATAGCCTGCACTTGCGCATATTCTGCATATTTTCTACTGGGCATATCATGCTCTTTCTCGACTGTGCATAGCCTGCACTGCACATATTGTGCACTGCGCATATTCTGCGTATTTCTGGGTATGCATATTGTGCATGTTTCCAGTGTGCATGACTTGCACTTGCACATATTGTATGCTGCGCATATTCTGCATATCTTTGGGTGTGCATGTTGTGCAATTTTCGACCGTGCATAGCCTGCACTTGCGCATATCCTGCACTTGCGCATATTCTGTGCCCTTCCTGTGGTGCATATCGTGCATTTTTCGACCGTGCATAGCTTGCACTTGCGCCTATCGTGCGCTGGGCATATCCTGCGCCTTTCCTCAGTGCATGTTGTGCATTTTCGACTGTGCATAGCCTGTACTGCGCATATCGTGTGCTGCGCATATCCTGCACCTTTCCTGCGGTGCATATTGTGCATTTTTGACTGTGCATATTGTGCACTGCGTATATTCTGCGTATTTTCCACTGGACATATTGTGCATTTTGATGGTGAATCCCCTGCACCTGCGCCTATCGTGCGCTGCGCATATTCTGCGTGTGTTTTACTGTGCATATCGCGCATTTTGATGGTGCATATCGTGTGCTGCGCATAGTCTGCGTATTTTGGGTGTGCACATCGTGCATTTTGAGTGTGCATAGCCTGCACTGGCGCATATTGTGCGCTGCGCATATTCTGCAGATTTCCTGTAGTGCATATTGTACACTTTTTGACCGTGCACAGCCTGCACCTGCGCCTATCCTGCGTATTTTCTGGCATGCATATCATGCATTTTCGACTGTGCATGGCCTGCACTTGCGCATATCTTGTGCTGCGCAGAGTCTGCGTATTCTTGGGCATGCATATTGTGCATGTCGTGCATGTCGTGCATTTTTGATGTTGCATATTGTGCGCTGCGCATAGTCTGCGTATTTTGGGTGTGCATATCGTGCATTTTGAGTGTACATAGGCTGCACATGTGCATATCGTGTGCTGCGCATATTCTGCGTCCTTTCTGGCGTGCATATTGTGCACTCTTTGATTGTGCATATTCTGCGTATCACCCGTAGACCTAAGATTTATCGTATGACTATGGTGCTAGCCATGGAAATACCATCTTAACGCATGGTAGTAGCCATGGCATGGCTGGAGCCATACATTTACATCACATCTGCAGCAGACACATGGCGTGCATCAATGATGTTATTGCCATCTCCTTCCCCATCGGGACGACACTTCTGTTCATGATCACGGAGAGAGTGCGCCGGAGCCGGCAGTGCTCGGCAGACACTATCGCATCAATTGAGCATCCGTCGGGCCCATTGCGCCTGATGACGCGCTCCCTACGAGCGTCACACATGATAATCACAATCTTTTATCTTATCCCGTACTCAGAATCAATGTCAGGAGACACTTGGCTAATCATATCTAATCTACAAATGTTGACGCATCTAAATCTCACGTGGCTTGTCAAAGGAGGTGCCGCCAATGCGTGCTCCCCACTTGATTTTGAGAAGGTCCCTCAGTCCGGTATGCCAAGCGGCCTGTTTCAGAGCATACGCTCTAGCTCCCGCCTCAACATACTGATCCCAATCCTCCCTCATTGCTTGCCGCTTCAACCACCACTCGGCCTGCCATTGCAAGTACGCGCACACACGGCGCATCTCCTCCTTGAGCATTAAAACTTCCTCGGACCAACGATCACGCCGAGCACGAGCACGAGCCCATTCCACGCGGATAGCTTCAGGTTCTAACTGTCAATATGTATTTCACGTGACATGGAACGGCACTCACAGTCGTGTAACTCGACTTCTGCCTGCTCTAGGGCACCTTTTGCAGTCCAGATCCATGACATGGTTCGCTTCGAAGCGCCAGCATCACGGCGGGGAGCTCGGCCCGCACCGAATGCGGCCAACCTCCTGGCAGCTGCCGCGTCGCTGGTAGCAGCCTCGTCATCCGCGGCGACTGCAACACCATCCATCTGCAAGTCCTCCTGCGCCAACTCGCGCAAATGTGGGAATGAGGAGATCTCCTCACATGCCACCAATGCTGCCCGCCCAGTCCGATACCTCGCAGCCGACGCATTGACCTTCTCGCCGATCTCGTCTATAATCGTTCGGGCCTTTGTCGAATGCTCCTGCCCAGTGACGTTTGCATTCCGGAAGTTGATCAGGTGCCGCTTGGCATGCAGACGAGCGCGGACCTGCGCCAAGCTGTTCTCGCACTGTGCGACCCTCAGACGAACCTCCATCCCCACCAGTTCAGGCGTACACCCTCGATCCTTGCCCAGAGATGCTGGCATCTCGCTGGGCATCCACAGCTTGACGTTCTCGGCCAGAGGAGCCGCTGCAGGCTCTGTCTCCCGAACGATATTGATGACCGCTGGCATATGAAGCAGCTGAAGCTCCCGGAAACGCTCTATCTTGACGAGCACTGTACGACGCAACTCTTCGAGCTTCATGGCACGATCCGGGGGCATGACAACCGTGCCAGCAACCTCGAGGCGGATACGTCTTCTGTGTCGTCATCAGCGCTCATACTCGGTGGCGATGGACAGAGAACATACTGAGCATCTTCGATCTGAATCCCGGCAGTAAGAAGCGATGTCTTAGTGCGGCCCTTCACTGGCAGACGCCCTTCCGCCGTCATTCGGTCCTCTTCCTTTCGCAAGTCCAATCGTACCTGTGCCTCAGAGACACAGACTATCGTCAAAATGATCAGAAACGTCCATGTATAACTCAAGGCACATACGAGGGGTGTCGAGGACATAGGGATTCGGTTTGGTCTCATCCGCCAGCCACTCGTTGATTGCCGTCGTCCATTCCTCCTTAAGATCCTTGGGTACCGTGACGCTGACATCCTCGAATGCAGCGACTTGAATCTTTCGTTCGGCTTCGGCGATCTTCAAGCGCGTAGGCAGCGTCTGGGCTAACAGATCGTCAGCTTTGCCGTTGGAGACACGATGAGCACCTACCAAGACCCAGGTTTTTCATGAAGTTATTATGATCAATCTTCTCCTCTAAAATGTCCGCTCGCATGCCCAACCCGGCCGTCCTGGTGGTGTAGCCCGTCGGATTAAGTGTAGACCACACCCTTTCGATGCCCTCCCCATCGGTCTTCCCTACACCCGGTTTAAAGGAGAGGCTATTGGCGTTCTGGCAGTCGGTGTTGTGCGATGCCGCATGCCACACAGGCAGCCCACATTGGACCGTGATGTCCTTGAGCGGAAGATGCAGATTGGAAGGCAGGCGATCCATCCGCTCTGCGAGTTTCGTCCTCCACTGGCATCCGATGTCGTATGAGAGCGTGAGCCAGAACAGGGCGAAGCCAACGAGGGCAGAGAACACAATGAAGTCCATATTGGCATAACTGACCACAGGTCAGCAAAACAAGACACGACTGCACGTCTGACACACCGCTCCCCCTTCTGTAGGTCACCAAGACCATTCGGACGCATACACTCGTGGCGGGCGCAAACACATCCTCCGACTCCCGAAACACGCAGTCCAGTCGTAAGGCGAGTGTCCTTCTGGAGTAAGGCAGCGAACGCAATACAGGTGCTGGTCTGCAGACGAAGAAGTTAACCCATATTTGGCAGGCAGGTAAACAAGTACACATCCTCCTCGCTGACATAGTTCTTCAGGTGCGTATTGTAAGGGTCTGGCGGGACCCAGTATCCCCATCCGGGGCCCAGAGAGCGGTCCTCTATCTCATTCGCTCGTATTCGATTCTTCAGACGGAAATTCGCATCAAGTGCCAATAGCAGCATGAAGATGAATCTGTCCTTTGTCAGCACACATACATCATCAACCACTTCTTGAATCCACTCACCGAAACGATGGATGCACGTCTTTCCAGTTCTCCGGGAGGTTACGGCCCTCGTATGGACAGGCCCAGCATATCACTGCACACTCACCTGGCTCAGTACTCTCTACGCCACACGGATCGTGTCCTCGTCCCGCTCGCATCACTCGCAGTAGAAATGCCCATTGACGCGCCATCCGCTGGAGCTGCTTGTAGCGGTCCTGCATGTTTTTCAGAGACGACGCACAATGCATGGGGATAGGGTACGCACCACTACTTTCCTAATCCCCGTCTTTGCGCTCACGTCCGTCATCTGCTCCACCGCCGTCATGAAATCTCGCGCATTCATATTCCCGACCTTCTGGTATAAACGAAACGCCTCCAGTGTCTCGAACGTGGCACATGTTCCTGGATCGATGTTTGTTGCCGGATACCAGCCGTTCCTCAGTAACTGCTGGACGTTGTTGGCATGGTCAGACTTTGCACAGTTGCAGTATTGCATTTGCACGTCGTGAATGTGAGGCGCGTGGATCACGACCATCCGCCGCACTTCATCAGCTGGGAATGGGCATGGTAGACCGCCGTGACCCAGCTGATACACGAAGCCCAAGTCCGCCAGCGACAGTTTCTTCCACCAACTTCCATTCCACTCCTGTGGCTCTGTGAGTCGTCATCACACCCGGACTGCAGGCGACGCACTCTGATAACATGCAGCGGAAAGTTTGCGTGTCGCTGTAAGAGACACTTTCGGCATTGCAGAAACACGCCACAGTCCAAGCACTTGAAGATCCCTGGCTTTGACTTCACCTCCGCACTTTCTGCATCCTTCCTGTTGTCCCCCGAGACGCTCTCTCCCTCATCATAAGAGGCGCTCTCTCCCTGGTTCTCGGAGACATCTTCTGCTGCCTCATCACCCACCGGCGGGCACTCAAGCTTTGAATGACAATGGCCGCAGTGAATGTTGCCTAACGAGTCTGCGAGGCCTTCATAACGAAGTAGTTCGTCAAGGAAGTATGACATTCGAGGCCGCCAACGAGACATGGGATTCTTCTGAGCACTCCGGTCAGTCGCGCACTTGGACTCATCCTCTCCACTCACAGTGCCTCCGTAGACTTTACGACCCTTGCCCTTGGCCGCCATTTCCTCAACTTCCTCCTCATCTGTCTCTACGTCGTCTAGCATGTGCCCCGCGGCATTCCCTTCGTTTTCCAGTGCCGCGTCATCGGTCGAATCCATCGGATATACTGGCATGTCCAGATCAGGAACCCACAGCCGACCACTTGCTCCTGCGCGATCTGAGTCCAAATCCAGCGTATGGGGCTCCCCCGTGCGTTTGCGTTTCCGGCTGACATTCATGATTTCGGTTCTTAGTTCTCCAGTCCGGGACGATATATAAACTGCTGTATCCGCGCTCAAAGACCCCACCGGCCTTTTCGGAATAATCCTACGCTCGCCGGGTTTGTCTCGTGGTGGGCGACCAGCCTGTCGACGGGGAAGCGACATAATGGGAAATGGGGATTGGACACAGGAGTTTCGGGCTACAGCACTCGGTTTGATCACGTATGGACTATTACAATTGCCACATGCTGAAATTGACACACGCTGCAATCGCCACATTGTCCTGATAACAACCTGACAGCGCAATTTGAAATTGCAAGCGATATCAAGAGCTTGGTGACTGGCGTAGAGCCAGCGCGGAACCTAGGCTGGAAAAAAAGGGCTTTACGTTTTCAGCATCCGCGCCTGACGTCGAGATATACACTCACTTGACCATCGGATCCCCCAAGCTTTGAATCAGCAGAGACAAGAGCGAGTCGGATATGGTGTATCAAGCAAGCAAGATCTGGGACACGCTGAGGCTGTTTGGATTGATAATCGTCTTGGGAGCCCGCAAACACGTCCTGAAGGAGATTGGCTGCAATTGGATTGGGTCCTTCGCTTGTGAAGGTCTTCCTGTTTCCATGTTGGCCATCCCCGTCATGCCCATGAGACATCTCCGCAGCTACCATCTGGCCATAGCTTGTCCCCACCGCGTTCAATCTTATGAGAGCACACGAGAGCTGGTATATGCCTTGACCAAGCCGTCCATGGCCCTCGCTGAGTCCGTCCATTGTGCCCGAAGCTCACCACCGCTTTTTTCTATTCCGGCAAGGTCTCACACAAAACTATCGGTCTCACCGACTTTGTCTTTCGTTTTGGGGCTAAACTCATGTATGGATTGGGGTAAGCATTCCGAGAATCGCTCTTTACCACCGCCAAGATCTGTCGGACGTCTTTGTCCCGGCGTGCTGTTTTCAGTACCCCCATGGTGGTGATGGCTGTGGGCAACTACAATGGCGAGATTCACGGCCACTTGCACATGAGTCATGATGATGTCAACATCCAGTTCCCGCCTGGAGCCACGGCCCTCATACTCGGGGAGGGAATTAAGTGCTGCTTAATGCCAGTGCCTGCCGGAAACAAGCGCCGGTTGATCTGTTCGTATTTTGACACCAAAATCACAAGATGAATCGGAGGAACCAGGAGCGCAGACCGGTCGAGCGGCAGCCCGGTTCTGGGCAGATGGTGATGACGTTTTTGCGGGCAGGCCACTCGCGCTTTCCGCCGATTCCGGAGGCACGGGGATGTATCTATAGTTGCCTAATTGACATGACGCTTTCGACGCTGGTTTGCTGGGCAGAGAATCTCGTACTCCCGCGGGTCATCCTCTGGCAGCACTTCATTGACACCCTCCGCTCTCATTCGTGACATGATCCTTTCCCTATCTCGCGTCCGCCGTTGCCTTTTGGCCGCCACATACTGTGCGAATGCCTCAGCACCGAATTTCGTAAAGTAGTGCCTAAGGAAGCTTGAGTGGAATCGATTGACAGCAACTCCGAAGAGCTAACGACCTAACATACCAATTCCTCCGCTGTACCTCTCGAATCCTTAGGTGGTAACGATGACGTTCACGATATCTTGCATGATTCTCGCGTGCACGGGCGCTGAATGCCTCTCGCTCTTCCAGAGGCCCTGAATCCCGTTCCGAACGTTGTCTGGGTGATGATCAGTGCCTGAAGATAGGGGTCCAGACCAAACGTACTGCGCCATCCGACGGCGATTCCTCTCCCTCTGTTCGTCTACCTGCGTCAAGCGAAGCATTTTGGGTATGGCGCGAACCTGAATGACAGTTGTCTGCGATACCAACAAATGAAGAGCAATTGTGGGAACGTTTCCAGACAATCACGTTTGACATTTAGACAGGTTACGTGTGGATACATCAATTACTATCATTGGCTCTTTCGCTTCACACTGGTTGCCAGTCGGAATGTGTAACATTGAGTGGGAGTATGGACAAGTACGTCGAGGGTATGGTCAATTAGCAAGTGCTCAATGTAGTAGAGTCAGATAGCACAGGTTTTCAGTAGTCAGACGTACACCCTAGTCAGCAGACACTTCAGCGTCCTAGCTCTTTGTGAGCCTATATGCACTGGAAATGACAGGGAGTGAACTCACAAGGGATTCTGCACAACATTTCCGGCGGACGGTGGCGGCTGAGTCTCAAGTCCATTGTCGCCGACAGCGGACATTGGACATGTCGTCCAATGTCATTCTGAGATTTCATGAGCCATTGCGTTGGGGGAGAACATCCAATAGACTCACATGGACTGTGCATACTTGTTCAGGATATCCTCCAGCGGTGTAGTCGAACGCGGGGCACAGTTGGACCCCCATTGACAGGTATGATCATATTGACACAAATTTCGACTACACGGCAGTAGCACTACCCTCCCGGGCAATTTGCCGCCTCTCTCGCGCCTTGAGCTTGAGCTTGCGACGGTTCCTAATGCCCTGTCGGCGATGCAACTGATGCGCTAGAAGGCACTCACTGTTCTCGATACTTGGCCGCAGCCTGCTTGCGACGCTCAAGACGTTCCTCGTGGACAGCAGGATCCACACCAACGCCGTAGTACAGGCGGGACATAGCTTCCCGTGTCTTGCGTTGGAGGTACTCCCTATTCCTAGAAAGGATATGAGTTGGCGCCATCAGCGAAGGAGGAAGTCAAAAAGACGCACTTTTCTCGGTAGCGCCAGCAGTATATCCCATGCATGAACGGCTCAGACAAACGTCGCCGGTTGTTTGGCTCTCCAGGTGTCGTCGGCGGCATCATAGTAAAAGCGGATGGCGGGCAGAAACAAAGTCAAGTGTCACAGTGTGACAATGACTTCCATAATGGGTCTCATGCCTACTGAATCAACCATTTGGGCTCCTGCGATGACAATTCTATTCCTGAGCACACGAAACCCGACAGTAGCAATATTAGAGAGTATCGGAACGTTCCTATAAAAAAATCTCACGCACTGAAAAGTAAAAGTTCGTGAAGTCGTGAAAGTTTGGTTTAATGGACTAGGTTCTCATATGAGATTAAGAAATGGATGGTATCGAAGAGCGACTTCTTCTGGTGTTTCGAGATTGTACATACATATTTGACCATATGATCACGTTCATCGCCGCAGATTCCCAGAGGTGATAGTGCTCTCCAGTCCCCGCGAAGCAACGCTCAAGTGTGAAGTTTAGTGAAAGCCACCTCAAGAAAACTGTGTTCAACGTGACCTACAGGCACAGTATTAGGACTAGAATTCTTGAAATCTTATAGGGGATACATGTAAGAATCTAGGATTCGAAATATTACTGGATCGGATGTCGCAGCACAGAGTTCCTTGTCTCGGATTTTCCAAAGCCATTGCGTAGTGACTGAGAGAGACACAGCTTGAATCATGAGCAATGTAGCTACGATGGGCTTCGCATTTGGGAATATGAGACGTAGTATCCCAATCTATATGTCTGCCAAATCACCAGACGAGATCTTCAATAGCGGCGTAGTTATTGCTTGAACTTTGTTTCCGAGTCGGAGTGAATTAATAAGGAAAGACCGTCGGCAATTCATGTCAAATCTTGCTCCGATCATCCAAACTTTGACAATGACATAGATTGATAAGATTACATTTGCAATCACTTTCGATCTTGTACATACGTCTAAGCTATGGAGTCAGAGTTGTCACGACCCACATCCTCTCCCCAAATGCTCTCGAACAGATGTCCGCCCACACCGGTAACATTCAGCTGGCCCTCCCGTGATGAACAATATACCCAGGACGTAGCGAAATTGATTGGGATTGGGAGAAGAAGTCGAGCCTCGCAGTTAAGCATACAGAAACACAGCATCGGGTTGAGCACGGGACGAATATCCGTGGTGATATCCGTGGTGCAAAGCACATGGGTATTCGTGGGCATTGCATTTATCCCTAACGGGGAATGGTCAGCATCATGGTCAGCATCTGGTTCGGATATGAGAGATAAGCGCGACACACCACGAATTGTCAACGCCAGATTGCCGGTGTCCGATTCTAATCAAATACCCCACCTCTTGAGCTCAGCAGACCAATATGCTTGGAGGAACGACGTGCCAAGATGATGAAAATGTGGATACACCAATGCTTATCAGATGCGTGTGGCGATTGTGGATGATAATCACTTCTCAACCCTGAGGACGGCAAGCGATAGAGCACAAGAGATGGAATTGCATTGACAACATAATCTACATTAAATAAGCAGAGAGAGAGCAACCGAAAGAGAGTGTTAGACATTCAACTGAGAAATGCAGGCAAGTGACGCACGGTATCACTGAACGATGGACACCAGGTTCATAGCCAGCGTCTGGTTGAACACTCCGATGGCAACAGCTTCGCTAGGGTGTCCACCCATGTTGCTGCGGCTGGCTCCGGTGACAGCTGCGACCGCGACCGAATTGTTGGTAGTGATACCAACGTAGTGGCCCCGAGTGACAGCGTACCAAATGGTCTCCGGCGGAAACGATGCAGACTGTGTAGGAGGCATCGCAGCCAAAGGTCCCGTCGGCACCACATTATACATGGTGCCAACAACCCAGGGCCCCTGCGATTGAATGCCGCCACCGAGATGAGGAGCCGGCTGAGCAGTAGCCAGAGGAGCCAAGCCATCGGACGATGTGTTCTGCACTGAGGAACATGATGAGTATAAGAGAGCGCACATGGATCAGTTCTTACAGTGCTGCACATGAACAGTCAGCGCGTCGATGATGTGAAGAAGAGTGGCGATAGTGGAAGCTATAGATTCGGATTGAGCACGATCAACAGCTCCGATGAAGAGGACTTACCGTCTGCCGCGAGACTAGCTGGGACACTACCCTGTGTCCCAGCGGAGCGGTTGAGATCGGTCATGGTGAGAGGAAAGGGAGGTCAAAAAAGGGTGGGAAAGTAAGGCAGGATGGCCCAGCCTTTATCTGAGATTCTGAAGACGACCCGGCTGGTTTTTTCCTATCACCGGAGATATCACTGGGCAGATTGGAATAGAAACGAGAGCGCGCGCATGTGACTCTGTGTATTCGGCTGAATATGCGGAAACAAACAACAATAGTTATTCACTCCGACTATCCCCTTCCCCGCCCCCGAGAAGTCACCAGAAAAATTGAACCTTACCTTGTGAGTCATCCCAGCTACAGAGAGGTTGACAGAACGGTCTAATAGGCACCAGGATTCAAAATGGTAGTCGTAGCCACTGCGAGCAAGAAGAGGCAGAACATCAAGAAGGAGCGAAGAAGTCTGCGTCTCTGGGCGGAGGGAAAGCGTGAAGAGATCCTTCAAAAGCATCTGAACCGTGTTTCGGATGCCAGACTTCGCGGTACATGGGCGGAAGAACGTGCGGCGATCCAGGCAGCCTGTAATGAATATCATGCATGCATCCCTTGGAACACCCCAGATCACGTCGAGCCCGATATCGTTCATGACTATGACCCCAAGGCTCCAGCTGTGGTCGAGGATTTGACGGAGGAGGAGGAGAGGGAGAAGCGCCGCCTCATTAAGATGTACAATGCGGTTGGTCACGTGATATGTGTCACCGTGTAGCCATGCTCATTCTTTTTCGCCACAGCGCATCACTCGATGGTATGCGTACCGCATCCGGCGCACCCTCAGGAAGAACCGCGAGATGGGCCTCGATCCATGCAAGAGTCCTTACGCTGTCCTGCTCGGCAAGCTCTCCGGGATCTCACGAGCGCCCAAAGCACGTCAGGCGTTTCAGCAATTCCAGCGGGAGTCGTGGAAGGACACCATTGCTCCGGTCATTGCTATTCGTCGTGCTGAACTGTCGCCGGGTGCACCTTATCGAGCTGGTTTTCGCGCAGATGTTGCACGCGAACTGTTTGCGGCGTTGGGCGAGGATGAGCGGGAGGCGCTGAAACAGCGTGCGTCAGTAGAGGCGGAGGAGAATAAGAGGATCTATTTGGAGGCACTCCAGGCCCTACCTTCCCGAGATCCTGTGGATCGCCACAAGTACGTATGACTTCTATTGCGCTGTGAGAGCGTTCCTGACTCATATGCAGTGCTATCCAAGCCATTAGGAGCTTCATCTTCCCCATTCTGAAGGGAATCTTCGAACGGACCGGTTTACACGCGACCCTCATCGTGGGTGGGCCAATTCCCGAGTTTGGCGGCGACATTAGGACTTATTCGTACGTTCCCAGGCTCGCTCTATCACTGGTGAAGCTGATGTATGAACAGCGTTTCTTATGGCGACAACAAGAACATGGTGCCGGTTTCCTGGGCGGAATGGGACAAGGATCGGTTCAAAAGTGACGTGCGAGACTGTTTTGTGGACTATCTGAGGACAGCATACTGTACGTGCTAGGTTTCCGTTGCATATGATACCAGTTCTGACATATGATCAGCGGCCGACGATTGTACCGCCGCGGCACTCCCCCAAGACGTCATGGACACTCTGATCCAGGAGGGAACGCTGCATACGTTTGATGACGACAAGAAGCTCACTCGGAACGATATCGACTGTCCATCATCTGATGAGGATGACGACAACGAGGGCGCCAACTCGAGCGATTCGGGTTCTGACACGGATATAGACGCGGTTGCACTGGCAGAGGCGGTCAAGAAGAAGAAGGCGCTATACAAGAAGGAGGCCGCTGGCAAGCCCTCAAAGTCTTCAGCCGCGAAGAAGCCGAAGAAAAAGAAGGTCACTTCCGCAAAGACGCCGTCAAAAGTACCTAGCGATGCCTCTGCTCCGACTGCTGCGAGGCCGAGGCCGACAGCCAAAAAAAGCACAGGAGCGACGAGTGCCAGTGCCAGTGCCATACCAGGTCAATGGACTGCCTCTTCTGCCACTGCGGCGTTGGCGGCTACGGGTACCGCATCCGATCTCACATCTCGGGCCGCATCTCTCCTTCCTCGTTCCACCTCTCCCAGTCTCATGTCAGACGCTGGTGCTGGCGTCTCAGCATCCGAACCCGCGTTTCATCGACCTGCAACCCCGGATCGCGAACCAACACCCAGTCCCCTTCCCGCTCCTGCTCCTCGTCCCACGACTATCACGTGGGCCAGCCCAATCGGCGACATCACCGTTGCCGATCGATGGGCGGACCTTCGTGACGACGAATTGACATACACTCAAAGGCAGAAGCGGATGATGGCTCGCAATGCAGCCTTGATGGGTGCACTGGGTCTCAAGCAAGCGGCTGCGAAGGCGATGGGACCGGATGGGCTCGTCGAAAAGGCAAAGAAGCCCACGAAGAGAAAGATGCCAAGCAAGGAGCTTGCGCCCGAGAAACGGAGACGGTCGTCGCGCCTACAGAGCGATTCTTTGATGAGTGATTCTTCGATGGACGTGGACCAAGCGGATGTGGGTGATCGTTCCGGGTCGCAAGATGAAGGAGATTTCGCGTCAATGGATGTGGACGAGGCTGGCGCTGGATCAGGAGTGAGTGGAGATGCGGAGGATTTGGCACCGCTGAACTCGGAAGCGAATGCTCCAAGTCCCAAGACTCTGGACAACGCAACTCCGGCTGATGAGGGCGGCTCTGAGGGCGGCACGATTGCAGGGGGGGCAGCCAAGCCCGACTCACACTCCTTGCAAGACTCGGATGCTCCTGAGCCGCATTCCCCACCTGCCCCCGACCCGCAAGTCCCGACCACACGTCCCCGCTGCCCCGATAAAGCTGCTGTCTGGTTCCAGAACGCACACAAGAAGTTCATGGCAGTGGATCTCGGACCGGATTTTGATGCTGTTGTCACTGCCTGGACGAGGGTAGAGGATGCGTCGCGGTATGCCGCAGGCGACGAGGGTATCTCCTCCAATCATCGGCCTGCGGCAGTGACAACCTGGATCCGGGGGAAGAGGACCAAGATTCCGTCGATTCCGGACACTGATGCATACGCGATGCAGTGGGAGAAGTGGTGGACAACTCTGCAACCGGAATGGCGGGTTGCGGACACTGTCGGTGGAGCAGGATGGTCACGGGTGGAGTACGGAGCTGGTGGTCGAGAGTGGGGCCCGCTTTACAGGTGGGGTCCCAATGGTGCTCAGAATCTGGTCGCTGCGTTGTATTTCTGGGGACTGCGGCTGCGAGAGTCGTCAACAAGCAACCAGATCGCTGTATGGAATGAAGCTGTGCAGGACCTCGGTTGGATGCTCGAGGGATTGGCTTCATTCTACGAGCTATGGAAGAAGCGCGGGTCCTGGTAGTGCTTTTAACATTGTATTTGTGTAGTCTATGCACGTGATCATATATCTTATTGGAGTTGATACCAGTCCACACTGCATAGTGATGGCGGTATCAGCGCCTGATGCGCATCTTCAACTCCCGTCTGAGACGGATGAGTATTTGCGGATCGAAAGCGTGTCATCCTATACAATGCGCGTGCCAGCCCAGCAACGCATGTGGATCCTGCTAAATATGTGGATTCACCTAGAACATCACTAATGCCGCACAAATTGATGCGCAACAGCGGTATCGGCGCGCCGGATGGGTATCCCAGTGTGCGCACGTGGATTGGCGCGGTATTGGCCAACGGATTGATGCGCAACAGCGGTATCGGCGCGCCGGATGGGTATCCCAGTGTGTGCACGTGGATTGGCGCGGTATTGGCCAACGGATTGATGCGCAACAGCGGTATCGGCGCGCCGGATGGGTATCCCAGTGTGTGCACGTGGATTGGCGCGGTATTGGCCAACGGATTGATGCGCAACAGCGGTATCGGCGCGCCGGATGGGTATCCCAGTGTGCGCACGTGGATTGGCGCGGTATTGGCCAACGGATTGATGCGCAACAGCGGTATCGGCGCGCCGGATGGGTATCCCAGTGTGTGCACGTGGATTGGCGCGGTATTGGCCAACGGATTGATGCGCAACAGCGGTATCGGCGCGCCGGATGGGTATCCCAGTGTGTGCACGTGGATTGGCGCGGTATTGGCCAACGGATTGATGCGCAACAGCGGTATCGGCGCGCCGGATGGGTATCCCAGTGTGCGCACGTGGACTGGCGCGGTATTGGCCGACGGATTGATGCGATAAACCGTGCACGTGGAGGGGCGCACAAGTCGCGGCAAACGCCGCAGAGGCGAGGGAATGATGCAAGCGATACCGCCCTAGGATCCCGCCGCCCATGGTGTACAATCACTCATCATGCATCATTACCATCATCAACCTTCCTGCCGACGCTGCCGCTGTCTGTGGGCACAGTATGGCGTAGTTGGGTGCCACAGCCACCGCCCATGGCTAGCACCATACGTTAGTATGGCATTTCCATGGCTAGCACCATGTCTCATTATCCTAAATCTTAGTGCTATGGCTCTGCGTATTTCTTGGGCGTGCATATTGTGCATGTTGTGCATGTTGTACATTTTCGACTGTGCTTAGCCTGCACCTGCGCATATCCTCCATATTTTCTACTGTGCATAGCCTGCATTGCGCATATCCTGCCTTGCACATATCCTGCGCCTTTCCTGTGGTTCCTATCTTGCATTTTCGACTGTGCATAGCCTGCACTTGCGCATATTCTGAGTATTTTCTACTGGGCAATATCTTGTGTATTTTCATTGGGCATATCGTGCATTTTTAATGGTGCATAGCCTACACCTGCGCATAGCCTGCACTTGCGCACATTCTGCGTATTCTCTGGGATGCATATCGTGCATTCTTGATGGTGCATAGGCTGCACCTGCGCATACCTTGTGCTGCGCATATCCTGCATATTTCTGGCACGCATATTGTGCATTTCGATGGTGCATAGCCTACACCTGCGCATATCCTGCACATTTCCTGCCATGCATATCCTGCTTTTCAATAGCCTGCACTTGCGCATATCCTGTGTATTTTCTACTGTGCATATCGTGCTTTTTCGGCGTTGGATAGCATGCACCTACGCCTATTTGTTGCCTGCACCCACGCATATTGTGCACTGTGCACATCCTGCGCATTTTCTGGCGTGCATAGCCTGCACCCACGCATATCGTGCGCCGTGCATAGCCTACACATTTTCCGGCATGCATATCGTCCATATTTCGGCTGCATATCATCCATATTTGACCGTGCATTGCCTGCACATGCTCATTTCATGCACTGGGCGTAGCCTGCACATTTTCCGGCTTGCATATTTCGCCTATTTCGACTTTGATTAGCCTAGAATTGCGCATATCCTGCGTTTTCCTGCGGTGTATATCATGCATTTTTGACAATGCATAGCCTGCATCTGTGCATCTTGTGCACTGTGCATATCCTGCACATTTTCTGGCGTGCATATTGTACATACTTTGACGTTCATTAGCCAAGAATTGCGCATATCATGCGCTGCGCATATCCTGCGTTGTTTCCTGGGTGCATATTGTGCATATCTCGACTGCATATCATGCATATTTTGACGGTGCATAACCTGCACATTTGCCGGCGTGCATATCATGGATAATTCGACTGCCTATCGTGCATTTTTGACGGTGCATAGCCTGCACATGCGCATATTGTGTACTGTGCATAGCCTGCACATTTTCCGGCGTGCATATTGTGCATACTTTACTGACACACAAGCTGTGCTGCTTTCTTTGGGTGAGCCGGCGTTGTTCTGGCTGGGCAGCACATTTTGGGGTCATCCGCACCCCGCCGGCTTTGCGCCCTGGGCTCAGCTCCCACACCCAATCACACTACTGTTGTGCAACACAGTATTTTATTTGATGGAATGTCTGGCCAACAAAGGCTCAACTGAAGAAGATGGATGCATTGAGTGAGAGAGGGAGATCAATGCATCATCTTGTGAGGGAGAGAGCCGAAGAGCAGGGGGTGGCTGTGAGCTCACTCTCTCCTTCCACCCACCTGCCGGCGATCTCATCCTTGACAAATTCCCATTTCTGCGCTCACCCACCCACCCACAGCCTGTTTGATTTGTCTTGCTGTACAGCAGTAGAGCAGAGTCTGCGGGGTCATCCGCACCCCGCCGGCTTTGCGCCCTGGGCTCAGCTCCCACACCCAATCACACTACTGTTGTGCAACACAGTATTTTATTTGATGGAATGTCTGGCCAACAAAGGCTCAACTGAAGAAGAATATGCACAGCGCGCGATATGCGCAGTGCAGGCTATGCACAGTGGAAAATGCACGATATGCACACCCAAAAATATACGCAGAATATGCGCAGCGCATGATATGCGCAAGTGCAGGCTATGCACAGTCGAAAGATGCAAGATATGCACCACAGGAAAGGCGCAGAATATGCGCAGCGCACGATAGGCGCAGTGCAGGCTATGCACAGTCGAACAATGCATGATATGCATGCTGGAAAATGTGCAGGCTATGCACCATCGAAAAAGCACGATATGCAGTGGAAATATGCACGATATGCACGCCGGAAAAACGCAGGATATGCGCAGCGCAGGCTATGCGCCGTCTAAAAATGCACAGAGTGCAGGGCAGGAACATGCATGATATGCACAGAAGCAAAGACACTGGAGATGCGCAGCAGAGATCATGCAAAATATGCACAACAGTTACAACTCACTAAATTCAAAGTAATTATTGACGCTATGCGGCCCAGGCCAGCGGCTGGGTCAAGACCAACGGTCCAGAATGAGCTGAGACCATAGAATGTCCCTGCAGCGTTGTTAGACAACGCCAGGAACCCAAAAGAACGAAAATATGCGATAATATCGCAGCAAGTGCGATTAAATCGCAGGATTTGAGCGCCCAATGAGAGAGGGAGGGAAACCCGAATAAGCGTGCATCCGAAGCGAAGAGGCATTCGCAGCTTGCAGGGTATGGGGCAGGGAATTTCGTAGCGAATGGGCGGCCAGAAATCGAAGGAATGGACTGGGATTCCTGTCTGGAAGATCAGGGGGGGTCGGCAGCTCGAAGTGGGCGGAAAGGGGAGGGTTCTGAAGGCTGGGGGATGTAGATGGGGTCGTTCTAATGCCAGGATCGAGTCAACGAGCAGTATATATGTTGAGCTCCAACTGTGAGAAGGGAGGGAACTACTCAGCTTTGTGAATGGAATTGGGGTGTACCCCAGAGACACTCTCAAATAGCATCCAAATTCGAGCTTGAGATGGATTCCGTAGTGTACAGAGATTTCTGCAGATAGTGTCGAGTTCTGGGTGATAGTCAGTCATATAGAAGCATAAAAGACTGTGTAGAATGAGCGCAGAAATGGGAATTTGTCGAGGATGAGATCGCCGGCAGGTGGGTGGAAGGAGAGAGTGAGCTCACAGCCACCCCCTGCTCTTCGGCTCTCTCCCTCACAAGATGATGCATTGATCTCCTTCTCTCACTCAATGCATCCATGCAAAATCAAAAGCTGTGTTATTGCTAACAGCAGTGGAGTATAAGTGGAATGCTGACAAGAAAAGTGATGGGAAATGAAAATTGTAGTTCTTGCAAAACTGGACAACTTTTGTTTACATACATAGGTGATCAGATCACTGATTAGCAGAAAGCATGCAAAACAGTCCACACAATAAGATCACTTGAGAAATGATGCCAATCAGAATGTGTATGTCTGGTGAGAAACAGAAGTTTTAAATTTATTAAATGCATGACAAGATCACTCTGGAAATGATGTAGATTATAATGCTGGCCAGAAAAGGAAACTTCCAAATTGGTCAAACCAGTTGACTAGGTCATTGTAGCTGGACCTATGCATTCATAGTTGACTGAACGAAAATCACTATCTGTGGCTGTATCCCAGCATGTCCCAAAGAATAATTTAATTTATGATGGCAATGCTGACAGTAACTCTGAGGATAACAAACAAGAGGATGCCAAAGATGCATGAGTTGAAGGCTTGGCATACAGAGTCACACTACATGCTGAGAATAGGGTAGTTACAACTGATTTTTCATAAAAATTGGTAGTGCAGTTCCCAAGATAATGCCTTGGGTCAGAAGTTACAGAAAGTAACACAATGTGTTGCGGAGAGATACTTAAAGCAGGCCACAGATAAGGATCATGTGCTGGCAGTGTCACCATTGCATGCACAAGAAAAAATTATGCAAAAATTACCTTGGGTCATATGATGTGACATGTCACACTGGCAGAGCAGGGCAGTGAGTGGGACATCAAAATTTGGGATGTGTCTGATATGCACATATGAAAAAAAAATGATGCAGAAATATGTCTGTGACCTAGATCAGAATGTCTGATTGGTGGAGGACAGAATAATGAGCTGGACTTCCCAATTTGGTCAGCAGCAGTGCCCAGTGATGGCCACAGAATGTTCCAAGCAGCTCTGGGGCCCATAGGTACTCATATCTACCAAGGTGATGTTTTTCTGCCAGCCTTTAGGCCAGCTTTTGGCGCAGCAAGCCC